AGGAAGGAAGGAAGGAAGGAAGGAAGGAAGGAAGGAAGGAAGGAAGGAAGGAGAGAAAAAGCTAAAAGTGCAATAAAAAAGAAAAAAAGAAAGAAAAAAAGAAAGATATAAAGAAAGATATAAAGACAGAAAGAAGTGGCTTCTGATATTCTGACATTATAAGTACAATTATATTTTAACTTCTCTCTCTAAATTTACATCATGACTCTCTTCTTTCTAATATCTATCCTGTCTACTCATCAAAACCATAAATCACAAGTTCATTTTTCCCCCTTTTTATGCAAAAAGCCCATAAACGGTTTCCAGTCACCAACAGACGTAGATATTTTCTTTTCTCTAATCAAAGAAGTCAGTTTATCCATCTCAGCAAGATCTGTCCATTTCGCCAACTGTTCCTCCGTAGCGGGAAGTGCCGAATCTTTCCATCTTGGTGCATATCATAACCTCACCACAATAATCATAAATTGAAATAATCTTCCACGACTCTTTCCTAACTGTGTCCCCATCAACCCTAAAAGGAAAAGCTCTGGCTTCAACTGAATATGCATCTTTAAAAATCTCTGTATCAATGTATGTATTAGTTCTGGCTGCTAATTCCAAAAAGTTTTTTTCCAGTTGACAGCCACCATAATCATTAAAAATAAAAGGTCATGTAAATGTCGCCAAGTCTGGTTTTCTGTAAAACTGAGAAGCAATCAAGCTCCTTCAAGCCATGGGATGTTTCTGAGCTGGGACCATTGAGAGGCAACCATTTTGTTTTTTTCTTTCACCCGTGGTTTTTCTTTCTTTTGCAGTATTTCAACACTTTAGAGAACAGCCTGGTGAATCTTTTTGTTCTCCTGACTACTGCCAAGTAAGACTTGGGTCCTTGAGGAGTGGTGGTGGTGGTGATGGGAGGGTAGAAGAAAGGCATCAACATGACCTTTCCAGCAGTCCACGTTAAGTATCTTTCTTTGAAAGAGGGTGAATGGAGCTATTTCTCCTGTGTGCATTGAATCATCAGAGACAGAGGAGTGAGAAAACCCAACGCTAGTGTGTTTTTCAATATTTGTTTGGGAAGTGCAAACAAAATTGCCTCCTTGACAATCAATCAATCCATTTTATTTCAATCATAGACCAGCATAGAACTGATAACATAACGATTACACTAAAATAGAAATAAAAATAAAGTCATATTGATAGAATAAAAGAAGGTAACAATAGAAGAGAATATATGTAGCTCAGGGTTGCACTGTGGAGCCTTTGGGGTTCTCTGAGCTTAGTTGTTTTCTTGCAGACGTTTCATTACCCGGCTAGGTAACATCGTCAGTGCTGGAAGGGAGTGGGGTTTGCTCTCTGCATAAACACTGATGATGTTACTTAGCCAGGTAGCGAAACGTCTGCAAGAAAACAACCAAGCTCAGAGAACCCCAAGGACTCCACAAAAGAAGGTAAAGATCAAATTATTAATGCAAAATTACAGAGTGCAGGAATTAAAACACAAAAGAATCCTATAAAATTACAATTAATTTTACAATGAATAATTAATTTTGAATGAATGAACGAACGAACGAATGAATGAATTTCACCTCCTTGTGTAATGCAACCCTCAAATTTTCCCTTTATGTATAGA